TAAGGGAAAAAAGTTCACCTTAGTTTTTACCATCATATTGCATGAGTCTTTTTTTTTTTGAGTTTTCTGTCAGCTTGGCTCAATTTCTATGGGATGAGGCAGTGGGCAGCCATTTCCTATTTGCTTTCTCTGTATCTCTCTAGATTTTGTAGCACTCTGCTGTCTTGTTTTCTTGGCTGGGGAGTTCTGGTATGTTCAGATGCTCCCCATATGGAAGGCATTTTGTGATTTTAGTCACTCTCACTGCTCTTGTTTTACCTTTTCCGGAACAGAAGAATAGCAAATGACCCCAGAACATCAACAACAACAAAAAAAGAATGGAATTTTCTGGATTTCTAATAGTATAATATTCTCAGCATTTTAAGGTTTGAGTGTTAAGGAGATTGCTTTTACTGTTGTCTGTTACCCAGTGGGAGCATGGAGCAACATGTTCATGAGGGAGAACAGTAAAATTAAATTGTTAGAAATGTTATGTTTCATAACAGTGGGCAGTTGATTTTTTGTAAGATTCCATGCAGGGTTTTGACGCATTTTGCTTCAAGTTCACTGTAGAGGAGAAATATTTCAGCTTTTCTTCTGTATTTTACTAAGTATTCCCTCTAAGAGCAGTTTAAAAATAGGATTTAATTGTGTTTTGATTGGACTTTGCTGTAAATTTATTTTTGCCCATGGAAAAGGCAGTAATTAAAAGACAAAAAATGCTGGCTAGTGTTTGCTAATCGTTTTTAGTGTTTCTTTCAATATAATTATAAGGTTTGTCATTGTAGCCAGTGGAGATGGTCAGTTCTCTGCATACCTGCTGACAAAATACTGAGAGTCTAGAAATGGTGTGTTGTCTTCTTGTGTTAATTAAGTGTTTATGCTTGGGTGGTGATGAACAGTCTAATAGTGGTAGACCACAGAGTACCAAGTGATTACTTCAGAAAAAAGAAAAACAAGTTTCATATTTATCTCTGCATGCATGTGTTACCTAATGCATATCATTACATGGCATTTTAGGAATAAGAAAGACTAATAACTTGAAATAATGGTTGTTGAACAGCTTTTTATGTTCTAATACTATTTGACAACTATATTTCTGAAAAGGAAACGGAGATTGTGTTTGTGACTCACAGGTTTCTAAATGGTTGGATTTTTTAATGTCAAAAATATTTTAAAGTCTACTCAAAAAATAATTTACATTTAGCAGATTGTACTGGAAAAAATGAAATCTGAGCTGAATAAACTGTATATTCATGCCCTAAATTGCACATGAAGATGTTGTTGAAGCATTCATCATAGCTTATCTTTGCAATTCAATAAAAGGCCATTCAGAAATAGCAAAACTGGAGTTCTCTCATTGATGCCCTTCCTAACACTGTGAAACTATGAGTTGGCAGAAGAGGAAATTGCATTGGGGATGCCAGGATGAGTTACTCAACCTGTAGGCAGAATTTAAGCCATCAAGTGAAGTGTTGAAGACTTGATCTTTACATATATCCTAGAAAAGTAAAAGTGAAAAAACCAAAGAACGATAGGAATCTCTTGCTAAGAATTCTAAACTAGAGGAAAAAAATTGCCAAAATGCAGAATTAGCAGTCAGACTGATGTAACTCAGTATGTTTCTTCCCTCATCTTTCTGTACTAATATTTGATTGCTCCAGAAGATACAAGCAAAGCTAAATGGATAAACTCAAGATCTTCCTCAGTTTAAAGCAGTGTTTTGTTATTTGCAGATAAAAATCATAAATAACTCTGAAAGGAAATACAGTAATATCTTTACTTCCTTCCTGGTGTCCACAAAGGACAGTAAGAAAACACTTCTGAATGTAAAAATCAACTGGGATTGAAGACAGGAAAAATAACCCCTTTCAAACCAAAATCAAATACAGTAGCTTGAGAAGGACTCAGAATAACCCTGTTTTCTTAACCTATTTCAGTGAACTTTTGAACTTATCACCACACTGCATTTCCCTACCCTACCCTGCATTTTCTATATTTGTACCATTTCATGTGACCAAAATAGTAATATGGATATTTGTGGTCAGAACAAAGTAGGATGATGGTACCATCCAAAATCAGGAGTCCAGGCACTGATGGATGTGCCTGTGTTCCTGGCACCCTGCTTTCAGACACATGGATGAAGTACAGGCTATTTCACTGTATTTTCTTCTTGCTTGTAGAATCATTTAGGCTGGAAAAGACTTCTAGGGCCATCAAGTCCAACCAGTATTTTTTTATTTTTAGGTGTCCTTAGTTCTTGATCTATGTATCCAAAATGGTTCTGTGCCCAGCAGATGAAGTTTCAGGGTTTGTAATGTAGGTCCTTTTGTGATGGTTTGTTGGGTTTAAGCTTCAGATCAGGTGTAGGAGCTGTCACTGGGAGCTTGCTGGCACCATGAAACCAGGAGGGTCAGAAATCTGGTTTGTGGTAGGATTAGCTGGACAGAGAATGCGCTGAACCTTCCATTTGCAGTTTCCTCTCAGTGTACCAGATAATGACATCTGTTGGGAGCCAAAAATGAAAGAGGGAGGCAAACAACCAACATAATTTTAAGTAGGAACACCTGCGAATATTTTTATTTTTTATCCTACAAATGGATTCCTCTTTTTTCTAGTTGCATGTGGTTAAAACTGATTTAAATTCTTTTACTTCATTAGATTTCTCATAATAACTTAAATAGTTGATAAATTAGTTCAAAATACCCCTTTTTAAATCTGGCCATTTATTGACTGAAGAATTTTATTATGTGAAAGGGAGGCAGGCAGATAAATTTAGTATTCAATGCAGCTTGCAGTGATGTCCTTTTAAGCAAAGGCATAATAGCAGCTGCTGTGCAGGTGGTGAGTGTTGCCCATGGCATTTGTTTCTGACCAACCATGTTCTCTTTGACTCCAAAGGGTCTGTCTGTCTGTCTTGAACAATTGCAGTGTGTTAACAGGGAAAGGAATTATGAGGAAGATGACTTAGAAGTGGGATAAACATAAGTACAGTTTTTACTCATGATGAAGAAAGTATTTGGATCTTAATTCTAGGTGCTGAAATATCAGCCAGCTACAGATTTATGTTTTTTTATTACACAAAGGACAAACTACTGTTAATACGGTGGTTTTTTGATGCAGTTAATTTGAAATAGATGTAAATGTAAGTTATAGCAGCTTTTGATGGCACAAATGCTTAAGTTACTTTGCAAATATATTTGGAAAGTATATACTTTTTATTTGCAAGAGGCATGAATACAAAAAATAACAGCATCAACCTGTTTGGGGAAGGCTTTCTTAATTATATGACAGAGAGGTCACATCACTTCAACCCTGGACTTAAGTCTGTGGAAAATAGTCAGTTTTGTGAGTAATTTGTAGTAACCAAGTACAGCTTTCTTTGGAACGGGATATAAAATATAATTTTACTTTGGTTGTTTTTTTTTTTTAAATAGGAGCTGCAAGACAAAAAAAGAATCAAACCCATCTCTTGCCTGGTGGTGTCAGACCTTGTTGATTTTGGTTTGGTTTTTAAAAAAAATAATTAGTGCATATTAAAGCATATTATATGCCTTGAGATGAGCATCATAGACTACCTAGGAAGATGAGGTTTTTTCTCTTACTTTTTAATAGATGTTTTCAGTATTTTGTATACTGATACAGCTTTCCACAGTGTTGGCAGGAGCTACAGATGAGAAGTGCATTAAGGCTTGGGTCAGTTTCTCTAGATTGTTTCTTGCTGTGTATTAATGAGATCTTTCCTCCTTCAGCTAGCAGGCAGGAGCTTTTGAATATCTTGATGTTCTTTGCAAAGGTATTTCTTCCCAGTTGTGCTCAAGAAGATGAGTCTAACATCAGGGATTTCAAAAGCTGTTCTGTATCTGATTCTATACTGATTATACTATGCTTCTGTATCTGATTCTATACTGATTATACTATGCTTCTGTATCTGATTCTATACTGATTATACTATACTTCTGTATCTGATTCTATACGTCATATGCTCATCAGGGATTTCAGAAGCTTGTGTGTTTCTGATTCTGTACTTTGAGTCTTTGCAAGCTCTTTCACGTGGGAGCTGCTCTTGGTTTGGCCAGGTTCCTCTGTGCACGCCTCCCCGGTGTCCCAGAGGGGATGTGAGAGGTGACAGTGAGAACATGAGATGCTTCACTGGTTTTTCATCACCCCTGCAGGGCTGGGTACCCCAGTGCGGTGGCCCTGTGCTCAGTGTGCTCTCTGTGCATTGCAGGCCCGAGCCTCAGCAGAAAGCTCCCTCTGAGCCGCCGCTGCCCCTTGAGGGGCTGCGTACTCTATTGCGGTGGCTCTGTGCTCAGTGTGCTGTCTGGTTTTCCATGCCCCTGCAGGGCTGGGTACCCCATTGCCGCGGCCCTGTGCTCAGTG